AACATAATAGGTAACCTCCCGCTACAATGCATCGTTGACACGCCGCATCGTTACAGGTATGTTGTTGTTGATGTTGTTGTTGTTGTCATCAGCGAGGGTTGCGCGCGCGCCGTGTAAGCCAGTGTAGTAACGCACCAGCTATAACAATGCTGACCGGTCCGGTTTGTTAACGGTCCACACTAACGCGTGTCCAATGTCCAGCCGACAGATGTTGCAGCACGTGTGTGGCGGCTGCCGTCGGCTCGTCTGATGGTAAAGTACCGACTTCGCCGACAACGTGTATAAAGCCGTGCCGCGGACGACGCCGACGTGACGCGGTGGCGCTGCCGTCGCTGCCGACGACCCGTCATCCGTGTCGGCGACGCCACGCTTATAAACGACACTCCTTCCGCCGACGGCAGTCACTGCATGTTCGCTCTACACACGCGAGACATACAGACGCACGCACTCGCTCTACGAACAGACGCCATGGAACAGCAGCACGTAACGTCGCAGTGCTGTCATGATGCGGCGCACGGATACACGGACCCCTTACTGATCGACTGCAGCCTTCAGTACGCGATGCCTGTCTATCTGCAGCAGCTAGCCGTCGCCTATCCAGACGGCGCACTGATGCTCACGACACAGCATCTTCCCGACCTGACAGCATCCTCTGATATGTCGCTTTCCTCATCCGACGAGAGCTTCTCAGACTCTTACGTTGACGGATACGGCGACAGAGCGACGTCGCCGCTTCGCATAGGTTGTCGGCGTGCTGGCGTCTATGAGGACGATGAAGATGAATCAGAAGATGTAGTCAGTGTTGCTGACACGTCACCGATGCTAGATGACAGCTTCTCTCTCTCATCGCAGCACGGCTTCGCTGCTCCCAGCATCCTCAACTTCATCGGTATGTTATCAACTCATCTCAATTATCATACGCGATTATATTAATAAATATATTGTCTTGTCATAGACATCTTACACTGTTACCATGTACTTTCCTGTTTCCGCTTCTAGTTTATTTCTGTGTACTGCTTATGCGTTGTAAATAAAGAGCATTTAGTAAGCCCGAGCAATGTTGCGGCGTCACCGCCTCTTGAGGGGGTTTGCAAGACATTCCTCTGTTTTTCCATATCAGCTTAACTTGTGATGAACCACTCATTTCCTCTGTACAATAAAACAGAAATATCTGATAAAATGTCTTATTATAACTTAATAACTTATAAACGCCAAACATTGAGTATTTTTGTCTTATTTATAAGCGCTAAACGTTGAGTATTTTTGTCTTATTTATAAGCGCTAAACGTTGAGTATTTTTGTCTCATTTAGAAGCGCTGAACGTTGAGTATATGATGTCGACGTCAAGTCCAGCCTGCTGCTACATGATCGACTCTCTGGCCTCGTTCATGGCTTCCGATGGCTACCGCGAAGACAGTTAACGTACCGCGTGTCGATCGATGGCAGACGAGCCCATGGAAGCCAACCAGACAACACGAGATGGTTTATTACACGAGTATTAAC